TGTTTTTACAGCCGAAATAACACGACTTACATTCGCTCCCCTTCCCTTCCCTGCCGCTGCGCCACGCCGTCTTCCTTTGGCGCCGACGTCACCTTCTACATTTCCAGCTATGCGATCCAGCCGCCAGCCGAAGAGGGGGAGGACCTGCTGGAGGGCTCGGACGTCGACCCGGACGACTTGGAGGAGGAGGATGACGAGGCGGAGCGGGCTGCCGCCGCCGCGCCCGGCGCCGCCCATCAGCCTCTGTACGTGCTGCCACTGTACGCCATGCTGTCGACCGAGCGGCAGGCGCAGGTAAGGCCCAGCAATGGTCCCGACCCCCGGCTCCGATCCCGGTCCCGGTCCGTCCTGAGCCCCGACCCCGACCCCGACCCCGACCCCGACCCCGACCACGACACGAACCTGAGCCCCGACCCCCGACCCAGACCCCGACCCCGACCCCGACCCCGACCCCGACCCCGACACGAACCTGAGCCCGACCCCGACCCAGACCCCGACCCCGACCCAGACCCCGACCCCGACCCCGACCGCGACCCGAACCCGAACCCGAACCCGAACCCGAACCCGAACCCGAACCCGAACCCGACCCCGACCCCGACCACGACACGAACCTGAGCCCGACCCCGACCCCGACCCCGACCCGACCCGACCCGAACCCGAACCCGAACCCGAACCCGAACCCGAACCCGAACCCGACCCCGACCCCGACCCCGACCCCCGACCCCCGACCCGAGCCCGAGCCCGAGCCCGACGCCGAACCCGAACCCAGACCCGAACCCGAACCCGAGCTCGAACCCGAACCCGAACCCGACCCCCGACCCCCGACCCCCGACCCCAACCCCGACCCCCGACCCCGACCCACCCGACCCCGACCCCGACCTCTACCCCGACCTACCCGACCCGATCTCTACCTCTACCCCGACCCTAACCACGACCGCGACCCCAACTCGACGGGGGGTTAGCAATCGAGCGACCGGCGAGGGCGAAACCAGCAGTCATGGCTGGACGGAAACGTAGAATAGAAGTGTCTGGAGAATGGGGTGGAGAGGATGAGTATTGAGTGGTACAGACATCCCCCCGCCTCAAACCTCTTGGACCTGGCGAATATCGGGGAGGAATATTACCTTCCACTCGTGCCCGAAGATGGCCTCAACGTAAGAGCGCACTCTGAACAAGGGTGCCGGGTTCGATTGCCGCGGTGTCCACCCTTCTTGTTCACCCTTCTTGGTGAGAGGCAGACGGTGCCATTTATCCTCAGCCGCTGAGTGAGTGGTGAAGCCCCAATGGCACACATATTCTGATCAGGGCAAAATTAAGCAGCAAAGTGGTGTGAATGAATGTTTTGTACTTTACTATTAAGCAAGGCGATCATTCGCCAGTTTTTGTGTTTCCATTCGAAAACTGACCTCGGCATGTCTGTGTCCAGCATCCGCCGTTCCCCCTCCCCCCCCCCCCCCCCCCCGCTAAGTCTGGAGTTGGAGTGTCACGCTCGGCGGTGTGCTCGCCGCTGCGCAGGTGTTCCAGCCCCCGCCGGCGGGCACCCGACTGTGCGTGGTGGCCACCAACGTGGCTGAGACCTCGCTCACCATCCCCGGCATTAAGTACGTGGTCGACACGGGCAAGGTCAAGCAGAAACTCTACGAGAAGACCACGGGCGTGTCGGCCTTCCAGGTCAGCCGCTGTGCGATACCCGTCACCCCAAGACCCGAAAACAGCGGGAATGGCTCGCCTTGGCTGCTGTGAGGCTGGATGTCTCACTTTATAGGCGAAACAGCGTGTCGAAAAGTGGGAGTGCCAAAACCCAGCTCGCGGTCGTTTCTTGTCATACGTGGCCAGGGGGTTAATGTTTCCTCTTCGCGGAAAGTGGGGGCGTCATACCACCCACCGACCCCACGTTCCTACGCCTATGTCTCACTCAACAGGAGCAAGTTTCTGTCGACAATAGTCTCTGCATTTGCACTGCTAGAACGGAATATCTCCACCGCTGCGATGGCTCGCTAACACATGTGCTGTGACGTCAGCGCCCGGCTTCGCCAGGTGATGTGGGAGTCGCAGGCTGCGGCCAATCAGCGGGCGGGCCGCGCCGGCCGCGTGGCGCCCGGCCACTGCTACCGGCTCTTCTCGTCGGCGCTCTTCAATGACGAGATGGAGCGGTTCGCGCGCCCCGAGATCCAGCGCAAGCCCGTCGAGGACGTGCTGCTCCAGATGAAGGCCATGCACGTGGACCGCGTGACCAACTTCCCGTTCCCGACGCCGCCAGACGCGGCGCAGCTGCGGGCCGCCGAGGAGCGGCTCCTGCAGCTGGGCGCCCTGGAGAGGCCGGAGACGGGTCAGTGGTGGACTGTGAGGCAGTGGGCGGTCCTGAAGAGGCCTGATACAAGTCAGTGGTGGAGGACAGGCAGTGGGGGTCCTGGAGAGGCCGGAGACGGGTCAGTGGTGGACGGGGAGGTGGTGGGGGGTCCTGGAGAGGCCGGAGACGGGTCAGTGGTGGACTGGGAGGCAGTGGGGGTCCTGGAGAGGCTGGAGACGGGTCATTGGTGGACGGGGAGGTAGTGGGTGTCCTGGGGCGGGCAGAGACGCGTCACTGGTGGACGGGAAGGCATTGGGGGTCCTGGAGAGGCTGGAGACAGGTCATTGGTGGGTCTTAGCTTGTGGAGGACGAAATCTGTTGTTTTCCTTTGAGGTTGCGGCGGGAGGCCCGCTTCAGTGCTAGCGGAAGTACACCAAGAGCAGCTAACTTTAGTGGTGATCGACACCCAGTAGGTTACCGTACCGCTTAGCGTTCTGCCAGCATCAACGCCTGCTCCACCAGCTGAGCCGCTCGCCACTGGCAGATGTCCGGCATGCCAACCTGGCTGTCCCCCTCCTTCAACTGGACTTAGTTTGCCCAGCAGAGACCCATCTGACCTCGTCTGATCGAACGTGGGTGGGCCGGTGGGGCCTCCCCTGACCACCGCCCCCCCCCCCCCCCCCGTCAGACGCGGGCGGCGCTGCAGACGCAGAGACACACGTGACGCCGCTGGGCCGCGCCATGTCCTGCTTCCCCGTGTCGGCTCGCTTCGCCAAGATGCTGGTGCTCTCTGAGCAGCACGGTCTGCTGCCTTTCACCGTCTGCCTGGTGGCCGCGCTCACTGTGCAGGAGGTGCTGCTGGAGAACCCGCTGACCGCCGGCGACAGCGACAAGGTGGGTGGGACTACTCCCGGACCGCCCTCAGCGTGGACGGTGCGGGGTACGGCCGTCCGGCCGGACTTGAACCTCCGACACATAGTGGCTTTGGCCACGCGACAGACCGTGGGTCGTAGATTTTACATCTGGTTCATGAGGTGTGTGTGGAGCTGGATTCGGCACACGCGCGAGATGATTCGCGGTGGAAGTTTAGCTCTGCCGCGGCCTGTAGAACGCGTGGGTGAAGAGCTGCGTGTTCGTGTTTTGACACATGACCTGTGACGGCTTTCTCAGTGTGTGCAATCTATTGTCAACAGGCCAAACAGCTGTGGGGCGAGTGGATGACGCTGCGCCGCTCGTGGGCCGGCACCGGTGACTCTCTGCTGCTGGGCGACTCCATGGTGCTCATCAGAGCCGTCGGCGCCGCCGAGTACAGCGGCTGTACCCCGGGTGAGGTCCGGCACAGCGTACTCCAGCACAGTGTACAGTGCAGCGCACAGCGTACTCGCACTCCAGATAAGGTCCGGTAGAGCTGCTGCACGCCAGATGAGGTCTGAGACAGAGCTGCTGTACCCGGGGCGAAGTTTGGGAGAGATGCACTCTTGCCAACTGTATTGCGCTATTTTAAGAAGGCCCCGGTCTGCTATCGGCACCATGACGTCACTCGTACGGTCCGTGACGCCTGCCCTGGCGCTAACCTGTGTCGCCGTTGTCTGTCAAGTCATCTGGTGACGGTGCTGACACTGTCTTGAATGCCCTGTTGCCAGCGGCGGCTGTTGCCGGCGGCGAGTGACGCCCGTCATGACGCCGCTGGCCTTGTCTCCTCAGAGTTCTGCCAGCGGTACGGGCTGCGGCTCAAGGCCATGAAGGAGATCCGGAAGCTGCGCGTCCAGCTGACCAATCAGATCAACCTGGTGGTGCCGTCGGCGGCGGCGGCGGTGGACCCGCGCCAGCCGCCGCCCTCCGAGCCGCAGTGCCGCCTGCTGCGCCAGGTGCTGCTGGCCGGCCTGCCCGACCACGTGGCGCGCCGCGTCGAGCCGGACGAGATCAAGAACGCCGAGGACCGGCCCAAGTGGAAGGGCGCCTACAGGTGGGCCCGCGGCGCTCGCCCCGCGCGCCGGGCCGGCGAGACGAGACCTCGCGGGGTCGCGGCCCGCCAAGTGGTCCCGGCTTACCGCTGTGCCGCTTCTTTTTCCATGTTTACAAGCCGTGCATATTTGCCTTCGTATGTTCGTCTGAAGCGGCGGCACAGGCTTAACTCCAGACATGATTTTATCATACTGTTGCAACGGTCCTCGTAAGCATCCCGCCAGCGTATGTGAATGTTCTTGTGTTGTGGACGTTTGTGGGGTGAGTTCTCTATCAACATTTGTTTCTGATCGTCGCTGAAAAATTGCCGGATGCATTCCGTGACGCAGCCCTCGATATGTGCTCCGGCAGGTGTACGTCCATCGAAGAACCGGTGTTCTTGCATCGTGGCTCTGTTCTGAAGCGCGAAGCGCCACAGTTTGTCGTGTACCAGGAGATCTACGAGACAAATAAGCTCTACATGAGGGGTACGGTAGTGCTACATCAGGCAGCTTGATCCTTTTAATTTAGCTCTTTTGCCTTTCCTCCTGCTAGCGCTCCAAGTTGTCCCGTCTTGGTCTGCGTGATGATAGGATAATGTTATATCTGTATTTTATATATATATATATATATATATATATATATATATATATATATATATATATATATATATATATATATATATGGAATGGGACGTGCCGCTGGGTTTCAATTTCAACTCGCTCGGCGCGCGGGCTGGCCTGACTCCAACCGAGCTCGGCATCAGTGTCGAGTGGGCGGAGGTCTCGGGGGTTGCTCTGTCTCCACGCGCCGCCGACTCACCCGCCGCCGTGCCGCAGGTGTAACCGCCATCGAGCCCGAGTGGCTAGCCACGCTGTGCCCGGGCCAGTGCACGCTCAGCAAGCCGCTGCAGGAGCCGCCGCCCGACTACGACCCCGTGTCGGGCCGCGTGCGCTGCCACGTGAACGCCACGTTCGGTGAGTGTCGGCGCAGTGCTGTCCTGTCGGGGCCGGCCTGATCCGCCGTGATCCGGTAATGTGTCCAGATGCTTGTTCGCGATCCGGGCGGCGGGCGCGCCGGCCGGCTCCGAGGGCCGGCTCCGAGGGCCGCGGCCGGCGATGTCCGGCGACATTTGGACAATTCCAGAAAAGCCAGCTCGACACGCTGACGCAGAACGGTGGTCGGGACGTGACATGAATTCGGTGACAGTGACTTCGGCTGACGCCGACGACTGTGCGTGACGTCGGTGGCTTTCGTTCGCATCGATGACCGTTTGTACGGGTGTCCGCTGATGACCACCAATGTGGTCATAGCGCCTGAGACGGCGTGTCTGACGAGTTCAGACAGCGCTGATGACGCGGGCCATGGCTGCCGACGGTGCCGGTGACTGCTTCCGGTGCTGACTGGTTGTGGCTGCCAATGACCGTGACGTTGTGACCGTAACGACCGCCGCCGACCGGCTGCGGAGAGCTGACGCTGGTCTGACGCCGCGCTGCCGTGCAGGTCGGGCGGTGTGGCCCCTACCGCCGGTCGAAGCCGAGTACCCGGCCGGCCTGGACCGGTACCGGCTGTTTGCCGTCCACCTGCTGCAGGGCCACGTGTGCCCGTCGCTGCTCGAGTTTGTCAAGGTGCTGCTGGCACCCCCGGCCACCATGACAAAGAGTTGGGCCAGGTATGTACGGGTCGGCAGTCGCCTGCCTCTGCTGAGGGCCTAGTTTCGAATGGGCATCGGACTCTGCGTGGGGAGAGTTAATCGTCCGATGACAGGCGGATTTCACACGGTCAGCGGCCCACGTGACAAAGCAAGCATCTGATCGGGCGGCGAACACAGATTGTGGCCATGCCCGGGGGGAGGAGGGGAACGGTTGAGCCGCGCTCGGACCGCGGCGCCCTCGGTGTCCGGTGCCACTCCATCACGGCCCGGCCAGCGGGAGCCGTTCCGCGGGCCGTCAGTCGGCCGGCGGCGCGCGATAACATTGCTGCAGCGGCCGGCGTCGGCGCGTGACCGGCCTCACCAAGGCCGGCTTGACGCTCTTTCTACGCGGTGATCGGCGGCCGCCAGTGCCGGCGCTCGAGCCCCGCCGGATGTTCCGCTTGTGGGCGGCCCCGGGACGCACGGGTGACGAGCGGTGCTGCGTAGGCATCGGTCGGGCGCATCCGACTCCCGGTTGGGATGAGTCTGCAGGTCGCTTACGGAGGATGGTGTCCTCTGAGGTTGCGTCCCCAGAGTGTCAGCTGAATGCACGTCGATATGGAGGTTCAGCGCGACTCTGTACGATGGCCGGGACAGCGATCTGCACACTCGAGACACCGTGACAAACTTGTGTAATGCACCGCATTCCATGTCCCGCCCAGCATCTCTGACACTCCGAAAGTTGCAAAATATCAAACTTAAATGCAAGTAAGAGTGCTGCTCAATTTGCACTTGCGCTGGCCCCCAAGTGTGTGCGACATCGCGCAACATGACATTATACATAGTTGATAATGGAGGTGTATATTATGGTTAATGTAGAAAAAGTTCAGAAGTGTGATTTGAATAACATATGTTTTACATTACGTCAGGTTTGTCATTGCATTACATGTCCGTGTATTATTTTATTCCCGAGCAGAAAGGTAGTCGGCACACGTCTACGTCGTCAGTCCACTTGCCGCAAAAAATGCCACTGTTATGGAGGTCCACGCCATGGACCAGCTGTGATTCGAGCTGTACTGGGTACGTCAGCAACATCATGGTTTCGAACTGGTAAATCAGGCTACAGATCAGCGCAGTACGCGGACGCGCACGCGCGATGTCTGTTCGTGCACGAGGTGAACGGACAGACCCGAGCGGATCACGCGGCAGGCGGGTGCGATCCGTGCCCAGCCTGTGTGCGACCGTCACGCTCGAACCTGTGTATCGTCAGGCTGCACCCGCGCACTGACAGCTTCCTGAAGACACTGGTCGCAGAGACGTGCGACAACCGCGACCGCCTGCTCGAGGTGTGGCGGAGCAGGCCTCAGTGTAAGTCGGGCTCAGCTGTGAGCCGCGGCGCCAGTCCAGTGTTCAGCTGTTGCCATAAGTAACGCTCGGAGTTGGCTCCATTTGCTCCGGTTCAGATTCCGAATGGAGTCCGTCCAAGTAAATCAGACGCCAATCCGCTGCTACCAATCACCTTTGCTGCCACCATTGTACAGCGTACAATGATCAGTGATCAGCACCGTCAGAGCACTCCCTTTTCTAGTTCGAAGTGAACGGAGCGTGCATGGGTCAATGTTCCCTAAGGATAGGCATTGATTCTGTCAGCCATCGTTGTGCCGTGAGGTGCCTACACGTCTGTTCCCAGCCTGATGACATGCTCGATCGTTTCCTTCAGTGTCAGATGTCGTGGGTCCAGAGACTTACTAGAACTTCGGTTCCATTCTGCTTGCCATTCGTCTTAGCTTTTTCTTCTTAACGATCAAATTGCTTATGACGTTATCGATTAAACTTGTATTGTTATCATGCAAAATATCAAGTATAAACGGGTTACGTACAATGATGGATTGTCCTTTGCAAATGTATGATGTAATGTAATTTGTGATGCGTTACTAGGTCAACCAGCCTCTGGTATATTGCTGGTTGAATTTTGTCAGGTTTGACATCAATTGGTGTGTTTCAGATCTGCTTTCTGCCTACAAGGAGTGGGTCCCAGAAGTCCTGCATGAGAAGCTTGACAAGATGTGGCCGCCATGTGCGAAGTCTCCAGAGCTGTGATGATAAGGGGCTTTTGGCAAATGTACGCCACATTGCGAAGAATGCTGGTGCATGTTGTCTCTATGAGATATCATTGTTGATCGGTGAGGAGGAGACATTTCATGAGATGCTCCCAGCAACCAATGCTATAACGGTGGCGCATGGTTTTCTGAGTGTTCTGCCGTGTCATCTCATTTTGTTAAAATAGAGTTAACAAAATATTTTGCCTAGATCCTGTGTATGGTCGAGGTCCAACTGAAACAAAAAAAGTAAAAAAAAGAAAACAATACCACTAGCGCGTTATTAGGCATTACAGGTTGCAGGCTAATTTTTCAAGACTATTTTCTGTTTTATCATATGTATTGTAGCATGTATGATGAGGCGCGCTCGCCGCCTTGCTGGACGCGCCTCCGCACGGCGGAACCATCCCTCCAGCTTGCCCAGGTTTGCACCAATCTTGGTAAAAATTCGGATGGGTCCTATCGTTCTGCAGCAGATTTTACAGTACTTGATCAGCACACAGCGCATGAAGTTAAATACCTCCCGACGGTTAAGGAGTGTAAGGATAGCTTGGCGGGCTTGCGGTTTTTCACTACCTTGAATTTGAACTCTGCATACTGGCAAGTGCCCGCGGCTCCAGGTGGCCGAAAAAAAACCGCAGTTAGTACGGAGGATAAGCGATGGGGATTCCTGGTTGTGCTATTCGGTGGCGAGGGCGCCCCGGCTCCTTTTCGCGCCTGATGTGGGGTGTGTTACGTGGTCTGCTGGGCAGCGGAGTGGCCGCTTACTTAGATGATATCATCGTGAGTGGGAAGACTGTCGGAGCATTTATCTCTGATGCAATCAGTCTTACATCGGCTTGGGCATGTAGGATTGACAGCGAAGCTGGAAGGTGACGCCCTGTCGTCGCCGAATTAAGCTCCTGGGACACCTTGCATCGACCTTTGGACTGGAGTCCGTACTTGACAAGGTAAAGATAATCAAAAACTGGACTCGACGGGAAATAAGTAACAAGGTTCATCGAGTTATTGACGTTACTACAGCGACCTTGTACCGGACCTGCAGCTTCTAGCCACGGCTTTGCATGTGGTTTTCGGCCAGGCCTTTTGCTCGTGGAACGAACGTCAAGACCGAATGTTTGAAAGCCTTAAGGAAACTCGGTGTGAGGCGACGATTGCGAGCTGTCAAACACACCCCATTCGTCTCGTTGCGATCGGATATTGCTGAGGCATCAGAATTCATAGGTGCCAGCACGTTTGCATGAACGAATAAAAACCACCGGGGGTTCAGTTATGCTTGCATGGACGACCATCAAGTTCCCATGCTTCTCTAATAACGACTTCTCCTGGCTGAGAAAAAGACAGTTGCTTTCGAGGGAAGAGATAGCGGCGAAAGGCATACATCCCGAGAAGGCCAGAACTGTACACTGCACCGAATGATCTTCAGAATAGCGTTTTCAATATGAAGCCTCCTAGAAATGTGGACCACTCCTGGGAACCGGAGGCACGGGTTTCGGTTACCTGTATTGTATGGCTGCCTCTCGCCCTTCGTGCCAGGGTGAGTCGCAGGCGATGCCACATAGCCTCAGCGGCTGAGTGCGTCGTACAGCCCCATTAATATTCAGCAGCCCACGGGCGGCAGCACGGACGCATCAAATCGTAATGTGGAATGTCACAATATCAAAATGCAATATGCGTGCAAACAACAATACAAAGCAGAAGCCGACACGCGACGCCAAAGCAAGCAGTACAAGCGATCAATGGGACGGGCATCTGCTCAAATAAAAATCATTCAATTGAGCACGCAATCATTCCAGATCACAATCGGTGTGCAAGCTCAGCTAACACTGGCAAGCGCGCATGGTTGATTCCCTTCCAGGCGCACCGTAGGTGACGCGAGTGCAGAGCCTCACGGATCAAGCTCTATAACCACCGGCTGGGCGGCGGCCGCTGCAGCACTGGACGCTGCCACTTTCGATGGAGGCGCTGGCACAGTGCGGCCATGTGCCCGGGCCACTGACACCGCGCCGGCGTGTGACCCGCGACGATCCGAAGCGACGGCCGGACTGCGGCCCCTCGGAGGGACGACCGCGTCGCGCGCTGCCGCCGCCGGCTGCACCTTGCCCCGCTTGGCGGCCGGGCCCGCGTCGCCGGCGGTCCGCTTGGCCGGTTGGTGGGCGGCGGGCGCGGCCGGATCGGCCACCGTCATCCGCACTGGGAACTCGCCCGCCTTCGGGCCGGCCACTAGGTAGCTGATGGTACGGTACGGCGTGAAGCTGAAGTCCTCCTTCAGGTACGCCTCGGTCAGCAGGTACGCTACGACCGCCTCGGCACGCTCGCGACTCAGGACCGGCACCGGCTGGCCTGAAACACGCAGGGCGGGCGGGCCGCGGCCCAGCCAGGCCTCGATCAGCATCGGCGCCGTCAGCCGCTTGTCGGCGGCCGCCGCCTGCGCCAGCACTCTGTCCAGCGCCCGGGCGTGGCGCGTGATGTCCAGCTGAGCGGTGCCCGTCCGCCGGCAGCACACGTCGCACTGCTGCGCGCAGTCGGCCGCCGTCCAGCGCTCCTCGAAGTGATCGGCGATGAATCGCCGCCGGCAGCTGTCGGCCGCCAGACAGTAGCGCAGCATGGTGTACAGGTTGTCTAGGCCCTCGACGGCGTCCGTGAACACCATCACACTCAGCGCGAACACGTCCTGCAGCCGGAACAGGACGATGCAATCGGCCGGACGACCGTCGCGGCCCGCCCGGCCGCTCTCCTGGTAGTAGTTCTCCAGCGACTTGGACAGCGAGTGGTGGATCACAAAGCGCACGTCCGGCTTGTCGATGCCCATGCCGAAGGCGATGGTGGCTACGACCACTCTGACTCGGTCGGCGAGCCAGCGCTGATGGATGTTTGACCGTGCGGTCGGCTCCAGGCTGGCGTGGTAGGCCGCCGCCGGTATGTCGGCAGCCTGCAGCTTACGCGCGAGCTCCTCCGTGTCCTTGATGGTAGTAGTGTAGATGATGCCGGACTGGCCGCTGTACTTTGAGGAGATCAGTCTCACAATCTCCTGCACACCGTCATCCCCCTTTGCCGGCTTCGGTCGCACCTCGTAGAACAAGTTTGGCCGGTTAAAGGCCGCCTTGAACACGATCGCCTCGGGAATTTTGAGCATCTTCTGCACGTCCCGCGTCACGTGTGAGGTGGACGTGGCAGTTAGACCCATGATCGGCACGTCAGGAAACTGGTCCTTTAGGATGCCGAGGAACTTGTAGTCGGGACGGAAGTCATGACCCCATTGGCTGCAGCAGTGCACCTCGTCGATCGCCAGCCGAACGAACCGCTTCATTCTGTGCATCACCTGCAGCTTGGTCATGAACCGCTTACTCTTGGCCAGCTTCTCCGGCGTGACGTACAGCAGGCGCATGTCGGAGTCAGGGTTGACCATGGCGGCCATCACCCGGGTAACCTCCTTACGCGCGCAGCCAGCATTGAGCGTTTCGGCGGCGATGCCTCGCCGCCGCAGCGCCAGCACCTGGTCTTCCATCAGGGAGACAAGTGGTGTCACCACCAGCGTGACGCCGACCGACGCCAGCGCCGGCAGCTGGAAGCACAGGCTCTTGCCGCCGCCGGTCGGCATGATCAGCAGCACGTCGTGGCCAGACATCGAGGCATTCATGGCGGCCCGCTGGTGCGGACGGAAGCCCGACTCGATGCCGAACTTGTCGCGCAGCAGCGCCGCCAGGCGATCCGACCATGGGAATGCCTGTGTCTCCCAATCCTGGCCAGCCAACCGGGCAGTACGCCGCTCGGTCAGCTGATCCTGAATCCGCGACTGTTTCTCTGTCAGCAGGCGGCGCCATTCCTGAAGTTCAGCGATCTTGGCGTCAACTGACTGCAGCTCGCTGATCACCTCCGCCAGCTGCTGCTCAGCGGAGGACAGCGGTCGGTCCGAGCAGACCGAGCTGGCCATTGGTGCCTCAGCTTTAGTGTTCAGGCCAATGGCAACGATTCTGAAATTGTGAAAGACCAATTCTTTGAACACTGGCATTCATGTAACTGGCTAGCACAAAGCAAGCTGACTAACACAGCTCTTGAAGAACACAAAAACACCATGGAGCAAAATCACCTTGGCATGGCAGCAATACACTACCAAAAACTTCAGATGATTCCATCTAAATTTAACATAATGTATGCACACAATGCCAATGGCTCAACAAACCAGGCTGAAGTCATCATGAAGCTGATGTATATGAGTTTTGCAAAAGCATTCCATGCCTGGATGGACTCAGACAAAGCCTGCTGGTCAGAAATGTGAACTCTATAGATCCAGAGGTTTGCAAAAATATGCCAAAAGACTTTCTTGACAATATAGTCAGAATGTAGGTACCAGCAAAGAAGGCTGCAAAGATAACTGCAATTTTTAAAGACAGGTCAGGCAAATTACTGCAAGCATGACAATACCACCATTGATGTAGACATATGTGATCTAGAGAGATAATTGCATAAGATTGCTGAGCAGCATAAGCAATGTCTCAAACTTTGTCTCAATTTAAGAACTCATAAATTAAATGTTACAAGTACAATACAGGTAATTCCAATAGCCAGTTAATGACTGAGAAACTAAGTTAAGTTAATCAGGTGGGGCCACAATAATTTTCTCACAGCAGCTGAAATATTCCACAAGTGCTGCACAAAGGCATAAGTGCTTTCATGCCTGTTAAAACCAAACATTCTGGTTTAAATTGTTTCCTATTACTATGACAAACATGCATTTAATCTTTTCCAGAACAGTGGGAAAAGTATTGGGAGAGTCTGAAAACGGAATTGTCTCTTTGATAGCTGTTGCACAACACAACCCAAGAGGACTGTGTCACACTGATAAAGCAGCCTAACCCAAGCACATCAAAGTGACATGCCCACATCATGAGCAGAACATCGCTAGATGCTTCTTTACAGCAATCGTATATCTAATGATAACACCTAACCAAAGGTGACCCAGCAAAGGTTCTTTCAATTTCACAACTGGCGCCTGAATTGGTTGACATTACTACATGTGTCCCCTAAACCAATCCTAACTCAAACCTAGCATATTTTTGTATAAGTCCTGCCGCATCGCATGTTGTTGAAATGCCCAAGACCTAAACAAAAGCCTTCGATATAACCAAGGCTACCCAGCAGGCATGATACAAATGTGTGTGTGTGTGTGTGTTATTGGGCTTTACGACGCACTCAGCTGCTGAGGCTATATGGCGTCGCCTGCCTATCACCCTAACAGGAAGGGCGGGCGCCGCGGGGAATCGAACCCCGTACCATACGATAAAAAGCAATCGCTCAGAGCGTCATGGATGAAGGAAACAGGCCAGAATTGTCATAAACCCATGAGCTACAAATTGTGCTCTTCAAGCACATCGCAAATACTGACTAAAAAATTAAAAATATTTTGAGGAAGACTTCAAAATAAGTTGAGTTCTACTTTTTTATTCGTCTAATTAAATGTGTTTCCCAGTTGCGTTTGGTGCTTATGCTACCACCAGAGTGCAGCATATGCGATGCACTCCTATTTATTGCCATGTTCGTTCACGTACAATTATGTGGCAAGAATACTTTATTTATTCATTGCATTGATATAATCAATACGATTTTGAAAGAAATCTTAAATTTGTAATGTATTTAATTCACTTGCTTACATGATTGCTATATATGGAAATATTGTGCTATTCTGATTGTGAGGACGAACTATCAAATCCCCTGGTTCGTAAGCTTCGTTGTGAAACTGAGAGATCGCTCCGTTGTTTGGTACGGAGCGAGGCGGTGGGTGGGCGAGGTGGTGGGTTCAGCTGTGGTGAGGTGAATTTGCCGTTCAGCGTGTTACCAAATTTTTCCACGGAGCTACTTGTGTACGACACATCAAAATGTGCACCCTGTCATGTGCCAGACAGCTAGGGATGTATCAGTCATCTGATGCGTGAGGGCACTGACTGAAGACAATCCCTCACAGATCTGCCCTCTGCATCTGCAGGTGTTGAGTGGCGATGTAGCCTCAGCAACTTACAGTGGCTGGAAGGATTGATCTGTGAAAATTTGAGTGCTTGATGAAAAGGTGGGGGTTTTAAACTCAACGGGAAGGTGTGGTAGCTATCAAGCCTATGTTAGTGACCATCACAGGCAAGATGACCAAAAAGCAATATGATCTGGTGCAGAACGATGAGTATGACTGTCGCATTCCTCTCCACACCTGAAGAAGCATTCCAGCATGGCATTTCTTTCCAAGCAAAATACATCGGAACTCTTGATGTTCCACGCCCATCAAGCAGGGTAGAAATTGTTGCAGCTATGAGGCGGATCCGATATGAGTTCAAAGCAAAGGGATTGAAGAAAAAAAAGGTTTCACTGGTTGTTAGCACTGAAGGTGTCAAGGTTTCCTTGAAGAAAAACAAAAAGAAAAACCAGTCTGCAGAAGAAAACAAGCTTCTAGTCATGCACCATCCAATTTACAGGATATTTTATGTATCTCATGATTCACAGGATCTGAAAATTTTTAGCTACATTGCCAGGGAAACTCATTCAAATGTGTTTAAGTGTAGTGTTTTCAAAGCAGCAAAGAAGAGCCAGGCCATGAAGGTGGTTAGGACTGTTGGCCAAGCATTTGAAGTGTGCCATAAATTGGAATGTGGGGATGATGGGGAAGATGCTGCCCAGAGCATCATCGGCAGTGAAGATCTGAGTGCACATGTGCGCAGGGCTACAGACACATCCTCAGACCCACTGAGTATGGATCTGCCACCCTATGACTCTGCAGATGTGATAAACACAAATCTCAGGAGGCCAACAAAGCTGGAGCCATTGTCTCTTCCACCTGGAGGTAGCAACATTCTCCTGCCAGCTGAGCTCTTCACCTCACCTCTGACAGAGCCACTGGGGCTGGAGGGCATTCTGCCACATGCAGGCACTCCTCTCTCTGCTCACCATGAGCAGCAGCTATTGAGGGAGCAGCTCATCCAGCAACAGCAACAGACAAAGGCTGCCTTGGCTCAGGTAGGTTGCTTTGTCAGCTGCCCAATGCTGTATGTGTTGTTCAGATTGCCAACTCCCTGTGTCATTTGACAGTGCAAATGTTGGTGAGAAATGGATATTTCAAGACAATTATTTTTGGGTTGAGAAGAATGGTACATCAGAGGCCATTCATATGTTATGCAGTGTGCTGGAGAGAGGGAAGGGAGGAGAGGGTGATGGGGCATAACTGAAGTTACAAGGGTGGGTGAATGGTGTAAGGTTACCTTCAGGTGTGATTGCAACTTATGCCAGTCTTTAACAAATGTTTTAAAACTTTAAGACCGGAAATGGTTGGCTTCCTATCACAAGCAGCACGCCGTCGGTGTTTCGCGCTTTTAGCCTAATTAGGGGCTAAACTGACGGCACGTTTTTGCTATGGTGTGCCTAGCGCACCGTAACGAAGGGAAGCGCGTTGAAAATGACCCAAATGCGAAACGTAATTCATGGACCACCCACAGTGATGTGGTTTTCACTCATCCAAAGGCTAGCAGTTGGTCATGCGCACACCAACGTTACGGAGGTTATGTCAGGAGTGAATACCAGCCCGGTTGGATCGCTTTCAGCCGAGCGTGACCCGGTCTACTCTGCTGGAACAATGGGGACGGCGCGCCTCTCGGAATTGGGCGAAACATACCAATGACCTTGTTGCTGTGCTATTACGCCAGCTCAGGCTTGAACGCCGGGGATGAGTGAACTTTATGTGAGAAAGATAGGTCATGAAGAAAACCTCCAGTTTTGGAATTACTATTTTATGTGTTCGAAATAGCTGATCTAAAACATACCGGTGGGTACTGGTTATTGTGCGTGATCGAAGAACCATTGGCATACATATAGTATGGGAAAGCACGACGTGACAAGTCAGCACTGATGCTGACGAGTGGATATCACTTCTGGTGACCATAAGCAGTCGATGCAGCCTAAAATTACGATTGGGTATCACTGGCAACGACACTTACGACCTGCGACCAAACTGCCTCGAAGTTTCAAGTTTCGTCATAATAGTTTACCAAGTATTGCCGGATATCGCCATTCAACCAGTACCTTATGGTAAAGGTCTTGATGGTCAGTTATTTTCAACACGAGAGCTCATCGAGACGTGTTAACATCGCTCGCGTTTAAGTCGAATTTTCAGCTTTTAGCGTTGCTTTTCATCACAGCGACGCCACGCGGCCTGCCAAACGCTTAGGGATGTAGGGTCGCTACATGGCAGCACGGCCTGTGCGGCCCGACGGCTGCGGTGCCGGACCTAACCACGGCGGGCGCGTGCCCCGCGCCAGGCCGGCGCTGATGTCATGTGCTGTCCGCGCGGCCGCTCCCCGGCCGTCTCCGGGTCCGCCCGGTGCCGCGCTGCCGCCGGCGCCCGCTGCAGCCGGCTGGCTCGAGCGGTGACGCGCCCGGCTGTCGAGCACGTCCGGCCCGATTTCCGGTCAACAGGGCACGACCCGCCCGACCGCCGCCGACGCTGCGGCGCTGGCCTGTCGCGGCGCCGCTCGCCTGTCGCAGCGGCGTCGGTCGCCTGTCGCGTCGCTGCCCGGGCCGACCGCGGTGCGGGGAGGGGCGCTGACAGGTGACGGCGGCACCGGGCGCCCCCGGGGCAGCCGTCGGCGGCGCTGTGGTGCGTTCTGCTCGGGGCCATCTGGTCGAGCTGGGTGGTGGAAGGTGCTGGCTGAGGCCAGTGCTTCCTCGGCATTGGCTGCCTTTCTCTCTCTCGCTCTCGCTGGGTGTTGTTTTGGCTGGTCGTTCCCAGTGCCGGCCATCTTATTGTCGCGCTGTGCGTGATCCCCAGCCGTCCCAGCCGCTCTGGTATGCCGCATATCCGGCCAGGTGCATGGGGAGCTCTGCGGGACTCGGTAAAACAACACCGCCGCGCAGCCGTCACTGGGCGGCAGATATTAATGAGTTACGTGATGAATAACTGATGCAGGCAATCAGAACTGAGCCGGAGCGATTACATTTGGGCTGGTTGTTTTCATTCTGGCGGCCGGGCCGTTTCAGCTGCCAATGCGCAGTGATGGATGGTCTCCTTGGCGGTCGGGTGTTGGTCGTGGTGTGTGTTGCCGACAGGATTCTCTTGCTGGTTGTCCGCCCGCTTGATAAAGGGCGAAAAGGGAAGCAGTAGCGGTTTTTCTCGCGAATTTTGATGATTTGGTAAGAAATTATTGCGGTCATTGTGTGTTATGAAACATAATCGGCGAGGAATCTTTAAAGAGCAGCAGAATGAGGTCTGTATGATATCCTAATCGAGCGGGTCGTGGGCCTTGTGCACGTCTGAGCTGGTGTGTTGCCTTGGTGGGAATTGTGAGTTAGTGGGCCGATAACGTCCGTTCAGTTCGGCGGCTGGGTCAGCTCGATAGGCTCTGTTCGGTCATCCGAAGCCGGTCCAGTGGTCCTGCGATCTCTTCGCGTCTCTTTTTCAACCGACCGCTTCGTTCCGTTTTCAGCCGGGGGATCTAGGACTCGGCCTAATTAAATTATTTGAAGTAAACTTTTAATGTTTTTAGCTCCCTCAAGGACGAAAATTCCACATCCGCTGACGCAAAGAGAACGAACCTGACAACAACTCGCTCCTCGAGCTGAGCATCTCAAAATATCAGACCTTCCTGCTGGCTGTTTTTGTCACTGGAGCTCACCCAGCCGACGAAGCGCGCCCTAGCCGTGCCCGTGACGTCAGCCCGAAGGCGTGCGTCACCGGGTGGCGGTCTGACGCTTCCTCGGGCCGAACCTGCGCCCGCCGCCATTAATCGGTGGGGCCGGGCGGCCGAGCGACGTGTTTGTGCGGCGGCCGGCGCGGCTCGACGCGCTCCGCCGGCCGCACAATCAGCACCGCCGCCCCCTGGGAGCGACGGATGCGGTCCAATATTGACCGAGACTGGCCCTCGGGGCTGGCGGCTGCCACCGCCGCGGTGGCTCGGGACAGATCAGCCTGTAAGAGGGTGACCCGGCGCCCCGGGCTCGGCAGCGCCGTCACGCGCTGCGGCGAGAGCGGCGGCCGCCACCGCAAACAGCGCACTCGGCCGACAGCACGCCCCAGAGGGCGATTCGTGTGCTTGACGGAAAGAACACCCAGATACTCTGTCATTCCCATGCCACGACGCAGACCTGTTTATTTTTTCGCCTCATCCTGTGATTACTAACTGCACTTGCCAAGTCCCACCAACCGTCTTCATTGTGGTCCCAATATCAGTCAGACGCTCTGACCCGGAAGGAATGCTGGCGAGGCTCACCGAGTCGGCACGGCGTCTCGTGTGTGGGCCGGCGCCGTAGCACCGTCTCCCCGGCGTGCCGCGCTGCGACGGCTGCCGCTTGGGCCTCGCGGCGCCCGCAACTGGTCGAAAGTCGGTGCCGCCGAACAAAAACGCTCACGCCGGCCATAAACAGTGACGCTACAGCGGGCACCGGGTGGAATGCCACCGGCGGGATGTTGTTAGTGACTGCGTCGCTGCCATCCATTATTAACCGATCGACTGGGGCCTGGGTGGCTTTTTCCGCCGCAGGTCATTCGGCTGCTCCTGACAAATAGGGGGCGCTGTCAATGTCGTGAACATTGCTGAGCGAGCGTTTGAAAGGCTGGATGTTAACTGCTTCTGACGTGGTAGCGTCGACCGCTGGATCCGAACTGAATCGTTTTGCCTTGTCATCATCGTCCTTTATCCTGCAACGTAAACTTGTGGTGCCATCGGGCGGGGCCGTTGTTGCCGGTTGTAAAAATTCACGATTTCATCGCCAGTTCGGTGGCAAGCGTCGCTTTTCACTTGACGCGTGTGCTGCATCCCCTTCCCCACACAAGTGAAGGAATTGGAGGATCCGTGGTTACGGTGGTACCTCCATTTTCATGGAATGCTGACATGGCCCATGACAACACATGAAAACAATCAGCTTCAAATTTGTTTTCGGAACGCCGACGTCTGGAGACGCTCCTTCACTTCCACGGCTTCACGTCTGCTGAAAGTACCACCGTTCCTTCTGGAAGCGTGTGACTCGTACTTGGCGATTTCCAGCAGTTTTGCGATTTTTTCGCCCACCAGTTGTCTCTTGCGGCCAGCTGACCTCCCGGTGGAGGCTGGCCGACAGCCGCTGCCGCCCGGTCCGTGCGCCTGCCGTGTGCCGTGTCGTGCGTGACGCCTGGTCACGCCGGCTGCGGCTAATCGACCCTGGCATCATTGGCGCGGACAGGGTGACGCTGGTCGGCCGCGCGGCGCGCCCGCGCGACTCGTCGCGGCGCCGCGTTTTCGCCGCCGCGCCGCGGCAGCTGATGTCAGTGGCTGAGAATGCAGCCGCGACCGCATCGGAGACTGGCGACCGCCGCCGCGGCCGCGCAGATGAGTCAACCGCCCCTAAAAGGACGGTCACCTGGGGTAGAGCTCCGCCGTAGTGGCGCCCGCGCACCTCGCCGGACTCCCGGGTGCGTGGTACCACCTGTCGCCTCGTGTAACGCGATCGTTTCACTCGACTGCGCTGTCTTGGGACTTTTACTACGGGTCGACGGTGCGACGCGTCAGTGCGACAAACGAGGTTACTGGGCCAGAACGACTCGCACGCGGCGGAAGCTGTCGCCGGCGCCAAACGGCCGCGTGACCGGCACACGCGGAAGCGCCAGGGAGCGCCGGCACTGCTGGCGCGCCGCTCACCGTGCGCGGCGGTCGTTTGTCTGCGATGTGTCGGCGGATGGCGGCGGGCGCCGCGTGGCAGCTTCGGTCTCACGCCCCGGAGTTCGGCAGCGGCTCGACCTTGGTCGCGCGCCGGGTCCTGGGGCGCACGTCGGGCCTTGGGCTTCGTTACAGAACGGGTCTTGGGGATGCATCGGCTAGCGAGTGCGACGCCACGGCGTCAGTGTTGAGTATCAACGGAACGTCGCACCGTGGCTGCGTTCAGGTTGCTCTCCTGCCCCGACAGGGTGTGACGGCGGCGAACGCCTGTAACTCTGCAGTGCTGTCAGTCGCCTCTGGGCAGGATGGGTCAGACGGCTCTGTCACACGAGCGCC